AAGTAAAGAAATTCAAATTTTAGTCGATTTCTAATTACGTTTTTAATAGAAGATTATTTCTTTTTTTTTATCTTTTTCATCTTGCACACCCTTCTCATCTTTTCATGTCTCACCCTTTATATTCACCTATTTATCGATACGAAAAAAAAAACAAGTCCTGCTTCCTATTCACATTTTTTATTTTCTTACAAGATTTCAACAAAATCAATCACAATTTTGAATGATTGTAAAAGGAAAGAAATTCAAATTTTAGTCGATTTCTAATTACGTTTTTAATAGAAGATTATTTCTTTTTTTTATCTTTTTCGTCTTTCAAACCCTTCTCATCTTTTCATGTCTCACCCTTTATCTTCACCTATTTATCGATACGAAAAAAAAAACAAGTACTGCTTCCTATTCACATTTTATTATATCTACAACATTTCCAACAAAATCAATCACAATTTTGAATGATTGTAAAAGTAAAGAAATTCAAATTTTAGTCGATTTCTAATTACGTTTTTAATAGAACATTATTTCTTTTATCTTTTTCATCTTTCACACCCTTCTCATATTTTCATGTCTCACCCTTTATATTCACCTATTTATCGATACGAAAAAAAAAACAAGTCCTGCTTCCTATTCACATTTTTTATTATCTTACAAGATTTCAACAAAATCAATCACAATTTTGAATGATTGTAAAATTTTAGTCGATTTCTAATTACGTTTTTAATAGAAGATTATTTCTTTTAATGAAGTAATTTATTACTACTTTCTTCACTCTCCCTTTCTACTCGCTGGCACCTCTTTTCATTCTTTCTTTCGCCTATTTATTGACGGGTGGGTGGCTGTAATTGGGGTGGATTATGGAGGGCTCGCAATGAATCTTCGACGGCTGCAGATGATGGCCGGTTCTGCCCTGGGCCGCCTGCCCATATATTAGCGACCCGATCGATCTGAAACAGGCCCACTCGAAAGCCCGCAATATGCTCCCTCCTCACCCTTCGCCTTTCCACCCCCGCTTCAACCCTACACCAACTCTGTCTCTCTTTCGCCCTTTGCACA